ATAAACCAATATAGTTAATACATGCACATGTTATATTGTGTGTTAGTTAATATTATATTTCTCTATATTATATTAGTGATGCACGTTTTATTGATACACATTTTAGATGCATGTAATATATCAGTGATGTTAGTGATGCAGTAAATGAGTTATCATTAATATACGTGAAAAAGACATGTTAGTGATGCATGTATTTTTTTGTTGATTAAATAACTCATTAATATAACTGAAAAAGACAAGCATTTAAATAGGATGTTTAATTAATATAACTGAAAAAGACAACCATTTAAATAGGAAGTTTAATTAAATTCTCAGTGGCATATGAGTGTAAATAAGTTGGAAAACTTAGGGGTATTTTTTAGTGGGTACTTCTCTTTTAATAATAGAGATATTCTCCTACATTTAAACTAACTAAATAGGAGTATTAATCTAAACTAAAATGCTAATTGTTGGATAATAACTCTATGTAACCTCTTCTCCAGACAATACTCTATCTTGCTAGTGTGTTCTCATTTTTTGTGCAAAGGCACATTTCTATTAAATTGTTCTTAATCAAAAATAAACTATCCGGGTTAAAACCATAATAAAAATATATAAATCTAAAATCATGATCAAAATAATTATTTCACACTTGGCCGTCTTAGAAATATAAAAACATACACGGTCAAAAACTATGATCGCAATAAAAATTGAAATTATATACGTTTAAACGAACAAATGTAAAAAGTCAATTATATGTTAAAATATATAAATAAAATATAAATTAATATATTTATATAAGTAAGAATTCAATATAAACCTAATACAATAAATATATAATAAGAAATGTATTACAGTTGACGGTTCAAAAAATAAAATAAAAATTAATCTTTAAAATATCATATTAGAATTTTATTTAATACGAATAAATGTCAAAATATATATTATCATTTTTACAAAAAATATATTTTATTACAAAATGTAAAACTACATATGCATGGTATGAGGGCCAAACTCGAGATAATTCATATTTTTAATGAATGTTATATATCTATAATATTAAAATATATGTAAATTAATTATTTTTACAAAAAATATCGCATTTGCGTAGGCAGGTCCAACTCTAGTAGATCATTATTTCATTACAGTTGGTTTTATCCGTTACACCGGAAAATCTGCAACTCTGACAACTTAGAATATATCTATTGGTGGTAGAATTGCTCGCTTTCTCTCTGGCTTATGTGGTGGTCGACTCAAAAATATAAAACAAATAAAATGTTTGAGAAAAGTGAGAGTTTCCCACAAGAATCTTCCTCTTACAAGAATCTTATTTGAGAATTTTAAAGGGACGGTTTTTTAAATAAAATATGTCTCATTCATTAAGTGTCTAATATTTTTTTCGAAAAATAAATTAGATATTTTGTCTGTGTATGAAGACATAATCTTTTATTAATATTCATTAGTATATGTTTATTCATTAAAAAATCAGCATGTTAAGTTATTATTATGTACTTAAAAATCTAAAAAATGTCCAATTATTTATATTTGAAAAAAAATCACATCAATATATATATATATATATTGTTAAGTTAAAATTTTAAAAATACTCACATATTAGAATGTTTCTATACAAATTTTTTTGCTTGCTTAATTTTTAATTATAAATTATTTTATACCTTAATTTTTTAATTTTATAATAGAAAATATTATTTCAGAAGCAAAAATCAATTATATACAAAACATATTATATATAAGAATTATCATGTTATTACAATATTATTTCCAGATAAAAACACAATATATATAATAATTATCTTATTTTTTTGAATAATATATATTTATTTTGAGACTTTTATGATATTAGTTTATAATCAATCAGCTAAGGTAATATCTAAATATAATATTATTAGTATAAATTAAATTTTAAATAGATCTTAGTTATATATAAATATATCTTAGTTATATATATATATATATATAAATTTCATTAAGAGTGTTTGAACGCGAAAAATTTCTTTTCAACTAATAGTATAAATATATATACAATTATATTACATTAAACAGTAATATTATTTATGTGGGAGATGCTCTTAAAGTATTTTAGCTAGAGGTGGACATTCGGATACCCATTCGGGTTCGGTTCGGATCTATTCGGGTTTCGGATTTTCCGGTTCACAAATTTTAGCCCCATTCGGATATTTCTAAATTTCGATTCGGGTTCTGTTCGGATCTTTGCGGGTTCGGTTCGGGTTCAGATAACCCATTTAAATTATTTTTTTAAAAATTTTAAAATTGATTATATACTTTAAATTTCTAAAAATCTATAAATAAAATAACATATTACAAATAATTGAATAACATAAGTCAAAATACCTAAAATTAACATATAAATTAGTTTGATTTGAATATTTGGATTCTGAATCAATAATCTTTTTAAGTATTTTTGATGTTTTGAGTGTACTTTAGCAATTTTAGACATGTATGTTTGACTATTTACATATATTTACAAGTATTTTGAACAATTTCCAAGTATTTTATATATATTGAATGTTTTTTATATACATTAAATCTAAAAATAATTAATATATATAGGTATATAAATCTTTTTCGGATATATTCGGGTACCCGACATATTTCGGTTCGGGTCGGGTTCGGTTTCGGTTCTTTAAATACCAAAATTTTGAACCCATTCAGATATTGAATTAATTCTGGTTCAGGTTCGATACTACTTTTGGATCGGATTCGGTTCTTCAGATCCAGGTTGTTTGCCCAGCCCTAATTTTAGCAATGAGATGGCTCTCAGAAGTTATTTTATTAGTTCTAAAATGTTTTTCATATGTCACACTCGAATCATTAACTGACTTAAACCCGCAACCAATGTCTAAAACTTTGTAGACCAAAACTTATGATCTTTTTTTTTTTTGAAACACATAAAACTTTGTAGACCAAAACTTATGTAGACCAAACCTTATGATCATTAATCTGATTTTTAGTATCAACATAAATAGTAAAGTGCTATGTACTTACTTGTTTATAACGTGGAGGATAAGGTCACCGATGAATGCATAGCCTTCTAAAAATTTAATATTCGATGGTATCATTTTACTTGCTCCTGCCGAAGTTCCCGAACTACAATAACATTTTCAAAGCATTCAGTTATATACACCATCACCAATACAAAAGAAAAAAAAACATATGAAACATTAAGGCAATCTTGTGCGTGTACGTTAGCAAGAAATTTGTAATGGGTAAGACCGATAGTATATTCGACGGCTCTCCATTCACTACGCGATCGATATAAGGTTTAACATCTTCATATGTGACTATTGGTACGTTTTTCTTGAAAAGCTCTTTAGCAGACCGTCCATGAAGGCCTCCATGAAGGAAGTCTTTGAGATACTCTGTTCCTGCGTTAAGTGTGAGTATCTCTTTCAAAAGGTCGTCTTGTATTTGCTTCGCATTACTGGTAAGGTCCTGAAGAACCTTTCCTTTTTCTTCCTCGTTAAAATCAGAGATTGTACTCATATTTGATTATCTCTAATTCTCAGGAATAGTTTGGCTTTTATATGTAAGGCTAGCTGTCGACGCTTCAAGTCCCTTGTCGTTTTTTCATAAAATCAGTCACATCTGTGAGATAAAGGGGCGTGGTTCACATGAAATATCCTTAATTTTGTTTTTTCAAGACAAAAGAAATATTAACAATATCCTTAATTAGTGGATCTACATCTGTGAGATAAAGACTTGGTTTCTCATGGAAGCATGTTATATAGTAATGTTTCCAAGTAATATATGAATAAACTACGACTCGAGGAGTCAGACAGCCTTGATGCCTCCACATCTGTGATACAAGGGTGTGGTTCACATGAAATATACTTAATTTTTGTTTTTGCTAAAATTAAAATAACTATTAACAAAGAAATATTCTTAGTCAGTGGATCTACATTTGTTAGATAACGACGTGCTTGATGTAAGTGTAAGAGTAGTCAATTACAGAAACTATAACACACAATAAGACATGATTATTCTTCTCAAAAAAATATGACTAGATAAATCATTTTAAAAGTTGATACAAGACCTTCTTAAAAGCAATTCTCAAACAAGCTCATGACAATCTTGACTTGTTGACTAGCCAAACCTATTCAAGACTTACCACAGTCGTTGATTTACTTCTAACCCTTAGATATTTTGTCTCACCTTACTCGGACTCACAAAACTCTATCTAGCTAAAAGCTCACCCAGTGTGTTAGCCGACTACAACCCAGCCGACTCTCTCTTTATACCTAGAGAGAATACCCTAAGTTTTAGCTAATAGAAACTTTCCATTTTCTATTACAACGAATAAGACAATCTTCCTCTTTTCTTGATCGGTTGCTTCTTCTCCACTTCTTTTCTTTAAAATCCGCCTTTAAGAATATCTTCATATCTTCATTAAAGGCTCATTCCTTTTCTTCCTCTTCTCATGACTCCGCGTTTCTCCGAGTAGTTCATGTCGTGCTTCATGAACTACTTTAGCTCCGTCTTGAACTACTTCATCTCCGTCTGCACCATGCATCTTCAATCTCTCCCTTTTTAATCTGTGCGTCTCACAAGTACCTGAGATGAATACAGCCATACACACAAACAAGTACACTTCGAGAGAACAATTCATGCAAGCAAAAGTACTTAGATATCCTAGATAAAAAAGTTCACATACTTAATACATCTCCGAGAAGACAACACACATAAGTACTCCCCCATAATCTATGAATTGTCTTAAAACAGAAATCCAAACCAGTTGCAGCAAGTGGTGCAACTGGTGAGTACAGTTGCAAACATAATTACAAGATAAAAAAAAATAACATCATTGCTCCCCCACAATCATCGCCTTCATTTCAATCTTCTCCCCTGCTTGTGAGCATACAGGTTAAAAACATACAAATAATAATCAGAATAAAATAGTCAGAATGAGAAGTAAACTAACCAGACACCGAGCGAGATAGGTCTGCCACGATATCAGTCAGAGCTTGCAGAGCCTTGGCCGTGTCCTGAAGTGCCTCCTGAAGCTCTGCCTAAGTGATCAGACCCTGAGGAACAATGATAATGCCTAGATCAACCGCGCAGACCCTGCGAGGACCAGTCTTGCCACTTGGAGCTGGTGGTGTTGGAGCAGTAGGAGGACGGACTGAATGAGCAGATGTGCGGACCTCTGGTGGTGGTGCTGCCTTTCCCTTTCCCTTTGCTTTAGCTTTGAGTAATTCATAGTTCTCTCTAACTCTCTTGTCCTTCTTGTAGGGCACATGTCAAGCTGGTTTCTCACCACTCTTTCGCTGAAGGAAGTGCTGCTTCTGGAGAATTCCCATGATGAGACGAGGAAAGATTAACCACCGAGAATCATTGCACTGAATCACTCCCAGGTTCATGATCTGCTTAAAGATCAAGCTTCCCAAATAAACCTTCACACCGTGAGACATCTTGTAGAGAAGCTTGGCTCTGTCAACTGACACATGTGTCTTGTGTGTGGAGGGAATCCAGTTATGTGCTTCAATGATCATGAGGGCGCCACAGCGAGGTGAGAAATCGGTGGTAGTCAGATTGTTCCATTTCTTCTTTGTCTTCTTAGTTAAGAACTCAGCTAGTTCAGTGACTGTGACTGCATCAATGGTCTCTTCCTCTAATTCTTCTTCCTCAGACAAGGGTGAGAGTCCAAGATACTCGTTGATGACTGAGGCAGAGAACTGATACACTTGACTCCTGACTCGTACTTCAACATGACCCTCATCATCTTACACCTTTACACTCGGAAGACCTGCATAAAATTCAACCACCACCTGCTCTACATAACTCACAAGCGATGTCACAGTCGAGATCATGCCCCCCTTTTTGATGATATCAACATACCCCCACTGATCTGGTTCCTCTACATCTACACTACGTTCAGAAATGAAACTACGGCCCACAAAATGATCATACCTCTTCTTGATTTCTGGTGGAGTAGCTGAAGCACCTTGACCTCCCTTCTTCCTTGATTTCACACGATCTGAAACAGAGGCTTCCTTTGCGAGGATGGGAGATCTTGCAGCATCCTGAGGTTGCAAGGACTGAGCTTGCAAAGGAGCACTTGCTTCTTCGGTCTTGGCTTTCTTTGAAACTGGAAGACCCAACCTTTTCAGGACTCTCTTCTACCTAGTTTTGACTAGTGGAGTTCCTTCAGATGTTGAACTTAACTCCACCGCATCCTTGGCCTTTTGAGCAATTTCCAAGATCAGATCTTCCTGTTCTTGAGGTGCTTCTTCCTTCTCCTCTGGGTTGTCTTCTTTCTCCTCAGATCCAGATTCAGCATGTTTCTCCTCCGGTGCAGACATAGTGGGAGAAGCTGGTGACTTTGCTACGGCATCCTCTGGTGTAGTCGCTGCTGCAGGTATTGTAGATGTCTCGAGAATCGGGTCATTGCGTTGCGAGGTACCTTGATGCTCATCACTTTCCTCCGATTGAGCTTTCTCGTTCGCAGTGTTGAACAACTCAAGCTCATCACTAACTTCAGGAAGATTTTCCGATGGAGCTGGATTGTTGC